TGATCTGGAGGTCAAACCTGGGGTCTTGTGCGTGCTATACAAGCACTCTATTGCAACTCCACCCTTCAAAATTTTTTCTTATTTAATTTAAAAACAAATTAAATTTTATTTTACAATTAAAACATAATTATGATTTTCAGCTCCTGATGTGCCATCCTGTAGTCATTTGAAATGTATTTCTTTGGAATGGTTGGGTTTTTAAAAATTATGGTAATAGGTATGTAACATAAAATTCACATTATTAACCATTTTTGACTGTACAGGTAGGCCTTATTAAATTCATTTAGATTGTTGTTCCATAATGCCTAGAATATTTTCATCTTCCATAACTGAAACTCTGTTCCATTCAAGCAGCAGTATTTATCTTTAAGAATAAGAATCATTAAGCATGTTTCATGCTAGAAGGAGAAGCTGAACAATGAGAGAGGTTGAAGGTGTAGAGAAAGTGAAATTCCCAGCGTCTCCAAAGCTTAGGACAGAGGCCATCTCATCATTAGAAGGAAGATAAATACTTCCCTTCCTTTGTCTCTCAAGTGGTTTTTGTTTCCTGCTTTGTATTGCAAAGAAAAAAAACACAGCAAAATTGATATTCATAATTTTTCAGTAACTGCATTTTTAAAGACTCCTCAGGTCTTTATTTCCCAGATAGAACAAACATCTATGAATCTTTCCTACATAGCACACGTATCTGTGAACCTTTCACCTCATGGCCTTGTGCAGCTCCCTGTCCTTTGTCCCCACATAGTCCCCCACTTCCATCTCATGTCTTTTTTTTTTTTTTTTTTGGTTTTTTTGAGACCGGGTTTCTCTGAATGGCTTTGGAGCCTGTCCTGGAACTCGCTCTGTAGACCAGGCTGGCCTCAAACTCACAGAGATCTACCTGCCTCTGCCTCCCCAGTGCTGGGATTAAAGGCTTGCACCACCAATGCCCAGCTATGTCATATATGTTTAATGTAGATTCTAATATGAGAGAAAACATGCAATATTTATCTTGCTTAACATGATGATCTTGTTTCATTCATTTTTCTACAAATGACATAATTCATTGCTTTTACAGCAGACTAAAACTCCTGTGCATACATATCATATTTTAAACTTCTGATTGTAAAATAATTTCAAGTGTGTGGAAAGTCTTCAAGAATAGAACAAATCAGACACTCTTTCCAGAAGCACCAACCATCATACTTTGCAGTATTTGCTTTACTGCAGTTTTTTTTTTTTTTTTTTTTTTGATTGAGGAATTGTACACATCAGACCCTTTGTCCAAATACTACATCAAGGAGCAAGGGGATTCTCTTACAGACTTTCATTATCAAATTCACAAAAACAGTGTTATCCACACATGCACATTTCCATATTCAATTTTCATGTTATCTTAGTCATGCCGTTTATAGCCCCCTTTTTTTCCCAATCCAGGCACCAATTCAGACATGTTGTATTTAGTTTAGTATGTCTAGTGTCCATTATTGTGAAATAGGACCTAACGTTGTCGTTAACGTTTTGTGACACTGAGATTCACCTTGGACCTGTCTGATGCTTCTGTGTGTTGAAGTCACTGCCCATTTTGAGCAGGAGTGTTACATCCCCGCTGTTGTGTCTCAGTATAATATGTAAGGAAGTGCAAGATGCCAGTTTCCTCATCTAATGGAGTGTTGAGTACTTAGTCAAGATTCAGCCACAAAAAAGCAAAAAAGCTCCCTTTTCCATTTTCTCTGCCCAATTAATAAGCAGAACGATGCTGTGGTATTATGCAATTACCTGATGCATTTTAAATTTTCCTTAATCTTTGTAATATCCATTAAGGATTTTGGCCCAATTCAGTTATTACCATGATGGCTGCAAAATGGCAATTTTCCCACTCTATTACTTCTTCTGCATTTATTGATTGGCATGCTCTGCAAAGAGCTTCCCCTTCCCTTAACCACTTACCTGCTTCACTGTAAGGTCACTGAGTTGTTTTTTTTCCCAGTTGGAGATTTAAAATTTATTCTTTCATCATTTATTTTGAAGCTGACGTTTTCCCTTTTGCTTAAAGGGATCTGTCAAAGCCACCTGTCATTATATTTGTGTGTGTGTGTGTGTGAGTGTGTGCATGTGTGTGAGTGTGTGTGTGAATGTGTATGAGTGTGTGTGCCTCTGTGTGTGTGTGTGCATGTGTATGAGTGAAAGTGTGTACGTGTGTCTCTGTGTGTGTGCGCCTCTGTGTGTATGTGTATGAGTGTGAGTGTGAGAGTGTGTGTGCCTTTGTGTGTGTGCACATGTGCGTGCATATGCACATGCACACCTGCTCGAGAGTATGCTAATTAGAACACATCTTACAAAGTTGATTTTCTCCTGGGGCATGGAGATCCAACTAGGTCATCATACTTGGCAGTGGACACCACTGAGTCAATGGATCTCACTAATCCATCTTTTTAAAATTCTCAAACAATCCCATTGTATTTCAAATTCTCATTTCTGGTGCACTGTGACACTGTTCACATGAATATTTTCCATCCTGTACCAACAACTGGCTCTTTCCTCTGGATGCTAGATGTATCTATTATTAAGAATTGTTATGTGTGCATACAATAAAATGTGTGTTTTCGGAGAGCACAGTTCAGAGTCAGTGTTCCTGCTGGTGCTAACCACAGCATTGGATTCTTAGTATGTCACATTGTGTTTCTTCAGAAGGCTCCCAGGGAATGATTTATCCTGCTTTCCACCTGCTCCTCCTTCATCTCCCATAACTCTGCTCTTCTCTGTACCATCCTGAAGATGAAGTGGGATCTCCATGTTCAAGCTTGGGTCATTTTCTCATCGGGGTTTATATTCACTCCCTGGGTGGTGTCATCTGACTCCCATCCTCTTAGCTCTAACCCAGTCTTCTTCTTCAAGCTCTGTACTTTCCATCCTCTTATTTTCACTCAGCATCTGAGATTCTAACGAACATCCAGATTCACTACATAAAACAGGTCCACTGTAGAACCAGTCCACTGTAGACCTGGTTTACCGAATTCTTCCTTATCTCAAGCAATGGCAGGCTATTCTCCCAGTCATTCAGGTGAAAACTTGGATATTGCTTAAAGTATCTTGGAAGGTCCACCCCCATTTCTATGCCATCCCCTGCTACTGCTGTGCATCGTAGCTATGGCTCCTGCCTGGACTCTTTCAGTAACCTCTTGCGACATCTTTCCAGGCTGTCCTCTGTTCCAAGAGTTCGTCCTTCACTGTACCCTTTCTCTCCTCCTCACACACACTCATCCTCCTTTTCTTTGCACATTCCAGCATCCTAGGCATGTTCCCACTCCTAATAAGTGTTTGGTCCAGTTTCTGTATCTGGAAGGTTCATCCCAAGGTAATTTCCTCATTGCTTCTAATTTGGGTCAAATCGTATCTTCTCATTATGCCAGCACTGACTGCTACCAACACAGTCTCTGATGCCATGTTCTCTGCTCCCGCTGCCTACCATGCCCATTACATTTATCTTGGAATTGTATTATTTCTTTACCTCTATGTTACACAATGTCAGTCTCCCTCTGCCGTGTCCACTCCAAGAAGGCAGATACCTTGTTTTTGCTCAGTGAAATGTCTAAAGCAGTGACTGTCCCACAAAAGGTATTCAAGTTTGTTTGTTTTTTAATAAATTAGTGAGCAGCTTCACTTTATGGTATACTGTAACAAATGCATGGAAAGGAGAAGCTACCTGCAGGATGGAGTCCACAGATAGCATTCTTAATATTGATATAGCCCAACCACAACCTCAACCATTCTCTGTTTATCTCCGTGTGCATGTTTGCCTCTTTCTATGGGTGAAATCTAGATTTGCTATAAATACAAGTGATTTTAATCAGGCAGTGTTTTCGGAGCAGAGCAGGTCTTGATGGCCCTGAATTAGGCCTTTCCATGCTTCATACAGCCAAGTAATGACTTACAGATGTTGGACATTCACTGCTCAGTGTTTCCCTGGCTTTCTTTTTCTCGTTAGTGGTACTTTTGAGCTCCATAAGGGAGATGCGGTGATGGGGTGATGGAAGAAGATATGACAGAAAAACAAATTACTTTATACATCAGCTATATGTTTCCCTATTAGACTCCTAAATTCCCTTGACATCTACACTTTGTTGAAGACATCTCTTGTGTGACTCAAGGGTTTCAACTGAAATAAGTCATATCTTGACAGACATTCAGATATGGTACCTGGCACGTTTCTGTGCAACTACCATGATGTCAGCATCAAGTTTTAAAGGGATTACATGACATAAAAGTGTCTCTATCACCAAGATGGGTCACCGGTGCAAAAGAGCATATAATCAGAAAGTGTGAGTCCTCTTTGCTTTTTTGGTAGCATTGTTAGTTAGGTTCTTTTTGTTTTGTTTTGTTTGATTTTTCAGGACAGTGTTTGCCTGTCCTGAATCTTTGGCTGTCCTGGAACTCACACTGTGGTCCAGGCTGGCCTTGAACTCACAGAGATCCACCTGCCTCTGCTCTTCAAGTGCTGGGATTAAAGGTGTGTGCCACCACACCCAGCCTGGTAGATGGTTTTATGATGATGTTGTTTCATTACTTTGTCAATGATATGGCTAAGACAACAGGAAATATTTTTCTCACAGCCTTATCACATCTGAAGAGAATATAAGAAATTAACCAACCAAAAAAGTAAACTTTTTAATTCATACAGCTCGTGTCATCCAAAATTATATAAGAAAACCATATGTAAAACATACAACAAAGTCACTTGTGGTGGTCCAAGGACTCTAAAACATCATGTTGAGGTCATCCTGGGCTACATACGAGAAAGCAAGAGGGGTAGAGGGGAGAAATGGCAGGAAGCCCCTTTGTTTATTTGTTTGTTCTTTTTCATTTGTTAGAAGAATTTCAAAGATGAAGTTCAATTCAATTCACTTTAACCCTTAAAGTGTCTCTTGCATGTCTCTTCTTTTTAATATATTGTACTTTACGCAGAGAAAATGATACCTCTTTTACACTCATGAAATTCTCCACGTGGTTAATTTCCACAGATACAACACACTCAGGGGAAATTGGCACCAAGAAAAAGGTGAAAAGACTGTTAAGTTTCCAAAGATACTTCCATGCATCTAGGCTTCTCCGTGGGATTATACCGCAGGCTCCCCTCCACCTGCTGGATGAAGACTACCTTGGACAAGCAAGGGTAAGCCAGTGGCTAAGAACCTGTGACCCAGCTAAGGGCACCTGGACCTGAGCACTGCTCTGCCTCTAAAGGGCTATGTGGCTCTGGGTTTGGCATTTAACACATCTGAACTTACTTTCTCAGACACAAAATGAAGGTATAGGTAACTAAATACCTATAAATAACTAAATACCTCATATAGGTAACCACATACTTTACTAGCTATAACATGCTGCTGTTGTACTTGTGAGATGAGGGTGGGGTGCTGGGGATTAAACTCAGGGCTCATGCAAGCTAAGTAAGTACATGCCCCACCACTGAGCTACACACCCAGTCCTGAGGTAAAACATGCCCCATGACAAATATACGTTAGCTATTTTCACTTTTATAAATGTGCAGAACATATTCTTACAGTGCTAAGCAAGGTAAAGACTTAGCCTGAAAGATTACTGCTTAAGGTGTAACTAAATTTTTAAATCCATTCATTTGTCTTATACAATGGCAACTGAAAATCCCTCTAGCAATTGTTAACTCTTAGCTCTATATTAGGCTCTTAATGTAGCATATTAACCTATTGTTGTTTTTAAGTCATTCAAAAAGCTTGTACTAATAAATTATTTTCACTCTCCATTGATTTGATAAGGTAGAATTCAATGTGAGATGGTTTAAAACAGTTTTCAAGTTATGTCTTGTTGCCAAGCCAAAGTTGCCAAAGGAATTTAAATTCTAGGGGCAAACTGTCACCATTAAACAGATGTCAAAAGTAGTATTTTGTAGCATACATGTTAAATAGTATCTCCATACAATGATATATTACTACATATATGCCACTAAAAAATGAACAATAAATAATGCCAGAGGAACTATCTCCCAATATACTGTGTATGAAAAGATAAAAGTAAATTAGATCTTATAGCAACATAAGAGTGAAATTGAATGAATCACTGTTTGTTTGATTAGTTGGTTGTTAGTTGGTGGTTGGTTGGTTAGTTGGTTGTTAGTGGTTGGTGAATTAGTTGGTTGTTAGTTGGTGGTTGGTTGGTTAGTTGGTTGTTAGTGGTTGGTGTATTAGTTGGTTGTTAGTTGGTGATTGGTTGATTAGATTTTTGGTAGTTAGTGATTAGTTGATTAGTTGGTTGGTAGCTGGTTGGCTGACTAATTGGTTGTTAATTGATAGTTGGTTGATTAGTTGGTGGTTGGTTGATGGGTTGGTTGGTTGGTAGTTAGTGGTTGATTAGTTGGTTGGTAGTTAATTGATTAATTAGTTAGTAGATGGTGGTTGGTTGATTAGATGGTGGGTGGGTTGGTTTGTTGGTTGATAGTTGCTTGATTAGTTGGTTGGTAGTTGGTTGATTCGTTAGTTGATAATTGTTTGATCAGTTGATTGATTAGTTGGCTGGCTGTTGGTGTTTGGCTAATTAGTTGGTAGGTTGGTTGGTAGTTGTCTGATTAATGGTTTAGTAGTTTGTGGGTGGTTGGCTAGTTGGTTGGTAGTTGGTTGAAAGGTTAGTTGGTGGATTGGTTGGTTGGTAGCTGTTTGATTAATTAGTTGATTAGATGGCTGAGTGTTGGTAGTTGGTTGATTAGTCATTAGTAGATAGTTGGTTGGTTGGTTGGTTGGTTGGTTGGTTGGTTGGGGGTTAGTTGGTAGTTGGTTGATTAGTTGGTTGGTAGTTGGTGGTTGGTTGCTATTCATGTGTAGTCAGTGATTGATTGGTAGATGATTTGTTGATAAGTAATGGTTACTGGGTAGGTGGATAGTTGGCTGATTTATTGAAAGGAGATCAATAATAAGTTCTTGTAACACTGCAGTGTCAGTGACAGAGAACACATGATGGGTTCTCTCATCAAGGAGCCACATTTTTTAAAGGTGATGTAGAGATATATAAAAAATAATAGACCAGAAGTCTGGCTGTCAGAAGATAAAGCCTGTATCTGCATTTCAAGTTGCATGATTTGGGTAAAGGTTCACTACAAACAGATAAACATCCCTTTGTTTCTTTAATAAATGTTGAAGGCTAAGCACTATATAAAGCACTAGATTTCTCATGGGCCACAGAACCACTGAGGGGCAGAAAGAATCATGTTATTCCTTGCATTAGTGACTATGCCTTCAGACAGAGATGGGTGAAGTTGTAGGAACAATGGTACAGAAAGAATCAAACACTGCAAACTTTATGCCACATTTCATTCTAAGCATGACTGGAGGGATTGCTCAGCCATTAAAGGCTAGGCTCACAACCATAAATAGAGTAAGACTTTAAATTATCCGGTATGTACAGTTACTATTCAATTTCCTATATAGCAGTTAATTTTATCTGCAGTCCACATTGAGCTAAACAATGTGCTCAACAATGGTTTTCACTTCACTTTTTAATTTTTTTTTATTCTAAGAATTGGGACTATAGCTCAGTGGTAAGGTACTTGTCTGACATGCACAAGGCCCTGGGTTTAGTTCCAAACACCACAAATATAAACAGCAAAAAGAAAAAAAAATGTTGCAAAGCTTCTCCCTAAAGTGCACCCTCACAGAGCCTCCTTTAACAAACACCTACAGCCATGGTCCCTCAGAACAAGCACTGTGACAAGCACTTGAGGTGTGCAGTGCTACCTCTCTGCACCCCCACAAACAGCCCTTGATGTAGATGATATCAGCCACATTTTTCAGATGAAAGCTGGAGAAGTTAAGAATGTAACCAAGGTCCAACAGCCAGGAAGAAAATGGGCTGACATTAGACCAGGTAGTTCAACCTGAGAACCTGAACCTTTAGCTGTCACTAGTGAATGGAGTAAAATCTGGTTTACCCCAAATCCATTGTACATAGAGTAGCATGCTACTGTTTCCATCTTTTTAACTGTTTTAACTGCTGTGTCTAGAAGTAGATGTTTGAGTCTCAGTGTGCTTCATCTGGGCATTGTTATTTTCTTTGTTTGCCTCTTCAGCATATGCTCTCCAAAGTTGGAATGTGGGACTTTGACATTTTCTTGTTTGATCGCTTGACAAATGGTAAGTTACCTCCCAAAGAATGTTCACTAAAATACACACCATAAAGTGGATTCATTTCATGAGAAACAAATTGTATTTTTAGACAAATTCCTTTTTCCTTCTTCTCCCACTCTCATAAATCTATAGTCAGTCAGTCAAGACAGACCAGAGGGGGGTAAATTAATTCAGATGAAGAATGAGTACTGAATTTGACTTTAGCATGTTAGGATGGTTTCCATCTGACCTGTGATCCCAAAAGACTTAGGAAACCACTGAGACTGTGGGCATGTCCAAATGTAGAGAGGTCACTGCTAGTCAGGGGAAAGTGAACACACAATAGCACACCTGAGTAGTTCTGAGTCCTGACGCTTATGGAGAAGGTGCTTACGCAGCTTCTCAAGCAAGCTGAGTCTGCCCATTGCAGGCATTGCTCAAATAATTTTGGCATCATCAGAAGGAAAGAAATGCTAGAGAAAGAATGTAAAAGCTGAGACTGTAGCTGAAAATTAAGCATTCCTATCGACTCTTCACATTTTTATGTCTATAAAATCTTTGCCTAGCAAAATAATAAAATATATTTTCCTCTCGCTGTTAAACAAATGTTGATAAGCTGAGGCCAGAGAAAGGTATCACTCAATGGTGACACTGGGATGACCCTTCATCTGTCATATTTGTGAATTAAGTCATTGCCCATGGTTTTCTCAACACTGACTTGGCAAGCAATGTGCTTTAAAAGAGACGTAGTGTAAGATTATGGCATGGATTTTTACTCTACAGAAATCTAACTAAAACATGTATGATATGCGTGGAATCCTGGAGTCCATAATGTTTCATTGATCTTGTTTGGATCAGCTAGAAATGGGTACTGATAAATAAAATTAACTGTGAACAAGAAAACTTAAAAAGTGGTATTTGAAAGAAAGTACAATCATGACTGTCACAGAAATGTAAAACAAAGCCCTCAAAAGATTTTGTTTATCTCAGTTCATTAGCAGGCAGCTGACCTACCACAACAGTTCAAAAGGAACACACACACACACACACACACACACACACACACATAAACAGTTGTGTAATGCCATTAGACTAGCTTCAGCTATAAGTCTATGGACAAGGATCATTTACAATGTTATCTGCTATCTCTAACTTGGAGAGTTCTAAATTAGCTTCAATACAATGAAATGTGTAGAGATGTACTGAATCAGGTAACCTGGAAGGACATTCTTTGGCAATACTCAAACTGCACTGAGGACTTGGGCAGCTTCTTGATCCATTGTAAAGTCTTAAATAAGCTCTGTAATACTTTTTTAAATTATCAAAAAAAAAAATACTTTTCAGCCAGGCATGTTGACACACAGGAGGCTGAGGGCTGAGGCTACTAGCCATGAATTTGAGGCTGGCCCGAACTACATATAATGAGATCCTATCTCAATGATAAATAAATTAACTAATTAATTAAACTCAGAATAATTATTCTTGGATAGGTAGTATCTCCTGAATATTAATGTTATTATAGGTTTAATTTTGCAGCCCTTCTGGCTTGAATTATGAAATATCTCAAAAATCAGTCTTCTTTTTCATAAGTCTCATAGGAAGAATAGGCTACTATTATTGCAGTGAGTTAAATATCCCTATAATGTAAAAGTCAATTGGAAATGACTTAAAGCATGTTTCAAGCAGCCATGTGTTTTTAAAATTACACATACATACACAAACACACACACACATTCAATACTTCAATAGACAAGTTTCTTCACTTAATATTTTCTTTACTGCTGATACAAGAAGATGGGAGCTAATTTTATTTATACAATAGTTAGAAGCCTAGAAAAAGATCAAAGTATATATAATTTCAAATCCAAAGTGGGTAATTATTCTATTAGAGAAAGTTTATTTCAGAGAATTTAAATCTTATTTTCAGTCTTGCTAGTGTTTATAAAACAAACAAACAAAAAAAAGCAATAAAGCAAGTGACTATTCCTCTCCAGGGAACAGTCTGGTAACACTCCTGTGTCACCTCTTCAACACCCATGGACTCATCCACCATTTCAAGCTGGATATGGTGACCTTACACAGGTTTTTGGGTAAGTCTTTTTTTTTTTTTTTTTCTTTCACGTCCCTACACAAGCATAGGAATAAGGGCAATGTGTAACTCTTTGATTCCAAGTGTCAAGAGACATGAGCTGAACAAGGACAATAGACATGATATGGGAGGAAGTCCACGAGGCCTCAACCCTACACCAAGAGCAACAGGCAGCTAAGGAACGCTGGGAGTGGGAGACGTAGTCTTCCCAGGGAAGAACACACCAATTGATTATTCAACACCAAATAATCAGCCCTGAAAACATATACACAACATTTACAGACTGAGCAGGTTGTATTTGTGCAGATAGGAATATGTATGTATATGTACATGTGTGTGTTTGTGTGTATATATAATAACAACTAATGAAAAAGAGGCCATGAATTTGAAAGATGTAAGGAAAAGTATATAGGAGAGATTGGAGGGTGGAAATGGAAGGGGAAAATGATGTGGATATATTAATCTCAAGAAACAACAAAAATAATTTTAAATAAGAAAGTGTTAAGAACCAGAGCATCATAGAAAAAGACCTGAAATTAAATCTTAAAAGATTTGATCTTAGTTTTTAAATATAGCTTATCTGCCCTAAGCTATTGATAAATTGTTGGGTTAATGTGTTGTGTTTCTAATAAGTCCAGAGTCTATATAGAAAAGCTATAGGTCTGTAGGTGTCAAGATGATTCTGATATGTTCTCATACTTATAGAATTCCAATGAGATATGCTTCAAATAACTCTAGTCACAACATGAGTTGCTGAAAATCTTTAAAATGAATAGTAATTACAATTTACATACCACCCACCATGGGAGGGATACTTTAGATAAATTCTTTCTAATCATTTGAAGAAAACCCAAGTTGAACATTATCACCACCATTTGGTCCACAGTTACAGAGAACAAAAAAGAGGTTTCATTAATTTCCCAACGCTAATGACTAGTCAGTGGCCTAGCCTCGAGTCACGTGCAGGTCTAAGCCCACCATCTTTACACACAACACCGCCATCATTCTTTCCCAAAAAGCAGTCCCAGTTCTTTTGTTCTGTGAGTGCTCTGGTTTATCTGCCCATGAATTCTCCAAGGTAGATCCCTGATCGCCAGATAGCTTGCCTCTGCCACTTAGCACGCTTCTGGTTCTTTGACTTGCTATGTGATTATACTATGGATTTGAAAGTTGATTCAGTGACATCAGGAGGAAGATAAAAACAGCCTCATCTGCCAGGTATACATCTGGGACCTCCTTCAAGGTTAATACATACATCCCTGTACTTATTAATCATGGAGCATACAAAGGCAGTGACACCTTGAACTCAGAACAGTGTTATCCCAAAGTCAGGGAAGAAAGTTGAGAATTGTAGTGAAGTAACTTGCACAGCACAAGTAAGTGACAGAGCTAAAGTTTACATATGATATGAAACAAGCCCACTGAGTAAAAAGTACATGTAGCACAGTAGAAAGATGGGAAACCTGCCACAACCACACTCCTTTCTAGAAACCTAAGTAACCTCGGGCTGGTTGTATTTTAATTGCTTTACCAAAGTAATGCCATGAAAAGGGCCAAATAATTTTGATTGGTCTAAAGATATGCAGATTCTTTAGACACATATATGTGCCCCAAGAACATATAAAAAATATAGCCTTGACAGCTGAATTAACAGTAGAACCCTGAGCCAGATTCATAGAATAAGCTAAAAGAATATAGCCATTGTAAGTCTGGCCATTCTATATACACTGAATATATTGCATCCCAAGCATTGGCTTGGTCATTTGCTGAAGCAGGGTATTGACTTCTATAAGCAACAAACCAAGATTGCATTGCCTACTACTGGACATGGCCCTCTCGGCCTGAATTGTGCTAGAGGGCCATGGAAGAGGGAGATGTGAACTGAGGAAGCCTCCATTGGATCTGTGTGGTCCTGTAACTGCTACCTGATACAGGACTAGATTTATTTTGGTGAGTGTGTTATTCAAGTAGTAATATAATCCCTGGGCAGCATGAATCCAACACACGAGGGCTTTGAAAGGAAGCATCGTTTGTGGCAGGATATCAATGAATGGCAACAGATTTTGATAATTAAATGATGGTGTGAAATAAAATAGTACTTTTCCCTCCATATTTATTTGCCCTATGAATGAGATCCTTCCTGAATTCCAGAAAGGGGTGATTTCTGGAAGAGGTGAGAAATCCAAAGAGCCTCCCAAATTCTTCTGGCCTGTTTGCCTTTCCCTTCCCATTACAAACAGCCCAGTTGAGGCACAAGGCTTACAAACCACCTTCACTTTTAAAGGAATCCTCAGACTGCTCTTTGGATATTTTTAACTAAAAGAAAGAAAGAAAGAGAGAGAGAGGGAGGGAGGGAGGGAGGGAGGAAGGAAGGAAGGAAGGAAGGAAGGAAGGAAGGAAGGAAGGAAGCTATGTAAGTCTCGTCTACTATGTCATGTTTGTTTTGATCTTAGTTGGCTAAGCATTCTGTTTTCTTCCTAGTCATGGTTCAAGAAGATTACCACGGTCACAACCCATACCACAATGCTGTTCATGCAGCCGATGTCACCCAGGCCATGCACTGTTACCTGAAAGAGCCGAAGGTAAAGCAGGATTCAGGCTTCTCCTCCACCCTCTGAAGATGCCAAGTCACTGTAGTGCTAAGCACTAAATGTTCAACGATGGGAATCCTTCACAATATAACCAAAATTATTATACTAATGTTCTCAGTGTAAGCTCTGAAAATCTTACCACATCCATGGAAAGAGATGTGGATTTTCTGATATTTCCTTCCATGGTTTATTGATTGTCAAGGCTATTCGAGGCCAAAAACACCCAGCCTACCTCTTACAGACCCTCAGTGGTCCCAAAGACCGGCATTTCTGCAACAGACCTTTACCACAAGCACTGCTAGCACTGAGCTTTACTGGAAAAGGCTTTCCAGCTTGTGCTTTCTGATCAATAAAGGGGATCAGAGTTCCCCCAGTTTCAAGTCCCATTTCTACTTGGCCAATGGGAGATTTTGATTCAGAATCCAAGAAAATTCATCAATATACAAGGCCTCTTAGCAAGTATGATCAGATGCAATGAATCACCCTAAAATCAGAGAATAAAGACATAATGATAGTGTAATTTAATAGTCCCTACAATTAAGGCCATTCATCACTATTAAAAAATTAGGGGTTTGGTGTAATATACAGTAGGAATCCCTTTGAGTTTTTTTTTAAATAGTATTCAAGTCTAAGACTCTGCCTAATTCAATCAATTTTAGTAGTTCATTAAAAATATAGATGCAGGCCAGGTGATGATGGCACATGCCTTTAATCCCAGCACTCGGGAGGCAGAGGACTCTATGTGAGTTCCAGGCCAGCCTGGTCTACAGAGGGAGTTCTAGAACAGACTCTAGAAACCAAAGCTTTGTGATCTCTACTTAGTCTACAAGGTATATCTTATACGTTTACTTCTAAGGCAGACTTCCCATCTTCCTGCTGGCTTTCCTGGCTGACCAAAAAGTGAAGATCCTCACACACTCCCCCACCACTTATTCCACACTGAGAAAGGATGCAAATTTTTCAATTCAATCTACTTCTTTCAAAGAAGTGACAAAAATATACATTAGTCAAAACACACCAGGGCTGGGGCCTAAGGTCAGTGGTAGTGTGCTTGACAAGCATGCTTGAGGCCCAGGTTCAATCACCAGTATAGAATTTAATTATTTATTATTATTATTATTATTATTATTATTATTATTATTAAGGGAAGGCAGGTAAGATAGCTCAGTTGGTAAAAGCACTTGCCACAAAAGCCTGATAAGTTCAGTCCCCAGATCCCACAGTGCAAGGCCTCCACACACATACCATAGGATGCATATGTCTTTACACACACACACACACACACACACACACACACACACACACACCCCACAGGACAGGACTGAGGGAGAGAATAGCATTATTTTTTTAAACTATTTAAACAAAGCAGCACACTAGTGATTCTTTAAGTTTGTTTTTTTCCTATGACAAACTCGTTTCTTCACTTGCAACTTTCTCTCCAGGCAAGGGTGATGTGGCTGCTGCTCCTGCCCACCAGCCATTGGCATTGCCACAGGCTCTGCCACCGCAGCAGACATGTCTCCATATCTGCTAGCAGGAGGAGGGGAGTGCAAGGTGGAGAGTACGAGTTGTGTTTGCCCACTTACTGTCCATGCCGCCCTTGCTCTCCCTTACAGCCCTGTGTACATATCGCCTCACTGGCTACCTCAGAAGGCAGAGACAGGTCTGGCTAACGGGCCCAACAGTGTTTCCTTCTGTTTGATTGAGACACAGCAAATGGCAACAATCAACCTCCCAGTTTTATTTTTCAACAGTTGGCCAGCTTCCTCACACCTCTGGATATCATGCTTGGACTACTGGCTGCAGCAGCTCATGACGTTGACCACCCAGGAGTGAACCAGCCATTTTTGATCAAAACCAACCACCACCTTGCCAACCTGTATCAGGTAAAAATAAATAAGTAAATAGAAGCTGGATGAGGAGCAAGTACAGTCATTGATTGCCTTAGGTGCTCAGCTAGAATTTTCTGTCCTAAAAGATGGCCCTCACTGAAGGTTAACTTCAGTGATGCAAACATCCAAAGAGCCGGGTTTGAATTAGAACCAGCCTATCCCTTGAAGGCTAAGTTATCTAGTCTTGTATGATTTTAACCTGTGACCTTTATCACATAGATCAGCAGGGACCTAGGAAACCAAAAATGAGTAAAACTTTTGTTCAAATTCAGGTGCTCAAAATGACCATGACCCAAACAAAGTTAATTCTAGTTTGAAAGGGGTTTGAGGAGTTAGCTAAAGAGCACACACAGACGTAATTCTTTAATATTTAAAAATAAACACCCGTGTGATTGTTTGTTTGCAAAGATTTTAGTTGGTGCTGCAAAGTGGGCTCCAGGAGACACAGGTAGACTGTGTGTCTGGGCTACTGCTCTACCCAGGAGACACAGGTAAACTGTGTGGTCTGGTCCCTGGCAGGAATAAGGCGAAGACTGGAAGGGGAGAACTGGGGAAAGAAGGCCCCAAATAGTGTACAAGATTCTATCTTCATCAAACACCTGCTTACTCGTGTGAGCATCTCCAGGAGGCTAGAAACGCAAGTCCTTCCATTTTGAGGACAGTGTTAGTGTTGGAGACAAGCCAACACTCAGTGGCCTCATAAAGACCTGTTGGTGTCTTAAAGCTGGCTGGAATAAAGGCTGACACTTATCAGCTGAACTGAGATGTCACAGACTGGCACCTGAAAGAGATCATGAACTTAACTGTGAGATTGTCTAACAAACTGATACTCCGCTACAGGCCACAGGGACATTCCGTCTCTCATTTACTCTATAATCTCTGTTTTGCTTTGTTTTGCTTTGTTTTGTTTTGTTTTGTTTTTGAAACAGGGTATTTCTCTATAACAGCCCTGGCTGCCCTGGTACTCACTCTGTGGACTAGGCTGGCCTAGAACTCAAACATCTGCCTGCCTCTGCCACTGGAGCGCTGGGTTAAAGATGTGTGCCACCACCTCCAGGCTCAAATTCCAGTGTTAATGTCAAAAGTATACTGGCTCCTGAAAGAAACTCAGGACCCCCAAGACCAAGTTCTCAGCACAAAGGAGATTTCTTTTTCCCAGAGCCACAGAGGGCAGGGAATGAGAGACAAAGACCCCAGTAGAGGACAAAGAAGAAGGGGAAAGGAACAAGGGGGTAGAGGTATTTGTGGTGAGATAAGATTGCCTCTGGATAGAGGGGAGACAGATGTGGCATATAGGAAAATAATTGTAGCTTAGGATGAGGTGTTTTACTTTGATTGGGCATCTTAATTAGGTGAGCCAAAGAGGGTTTCTGATTGCTGGACTTCGGTTCTTTGATAGCTGCACCTTGGTGGTCAGCCTCATGAGGAGGAAGTGCCAAATAAGGGAACAGACCTTAGTGACTTGCTTTAGGAATATATTCTAATGGTTTTTAGCAAGGCAGAGGCAATGGGGGAGAAAGACCAAGTCTGCCAGAGCCATGCTCGTGTGGACTAGTGTCCCTTCTAATGTCCCTTTCTCATCACAGCCATTCTTGTTCTTTCTCCATGCATCCTGATTCTCCGGGTTTCCAGCATGTGAGAGAGAGGCCCCAGTATGGAGGGAAGAAATGATATCACATAGTGCGTACACTTACCAAGGCATTAGGAACACATGATATTTTAAATCTCTGGACACAGGGTACCTTTGAACATGTTTCCATGAAAAATTACCCTCATTAACTTTACAATGACTTACATATTCAGAAAATCATTAAGAACCTTGCTAATGAATGTGATAACATATGTACAAATATTCACAAAAATTATACTCGCATATGCATTTAATCAACAAGAGTACCACAGAGGAGATGAGCCAGGACTGTGGCAGCTGGGAGAACACCCTGCGGGTGACTTCGCTGCAACCCAGACTGACAGTGAACAGATAAGGTGTAAGACACTTCCTTTCCTTCAGCTGACCCTGCTCTTTCGGTTCTAATAAAGATCAGTGCACAACACCCAGCGTGTGCCTTTGTACTGAGATAAAGAAAGAGCCGGGCAGCTGGAGTGAAGGCAGGGTCAGAGGGCACCCCTACCCCCCCCCAATTGTCTGCAGTCTGGACCCGATTCCTACGCTTAACTTGCCCGCCAGGGTCAATATGAAGACACAACAGGTACTTCCACCCCGGCGCCTCACGCAGAATAAAGCGGTCTATGTGTCAAGAAGCTAGGCCAAGAGAGACAGGAGCATGTGAGAGGAAGTCCTCAGAATTTACTTTCTTTACCTCTGCCCTCCGTTACTCACCATCACACCATCACACACACACACACAGAGTCACAGATCTGCTCAGCGAGCTGCAAAGTATACATGGCATCAGATGTAATAATGGTAACCACAACTATAAAAAGAATTGCTTTCACTTTAACTTAAAATGTAATTCTTCTTGATAGATCCCAACTACATACTAACTACAAACAGACCACTCCATGGGTAAAATAATGGTAATTCTCCCATGTAACCTATGTTTAACAGAAGTGTATGTGATTTCTCTTAAATCGTTTGCTATAGGCAATTGGGGGTGGGATTAACATTTAAAATGCCTTTTTATTTTGAATGACTCTGAATCACACACACCAGGCTGACAGTCTCAGAGGAATGTTACATGACTGCTCCTCAAATACGTAATTGCAAAGATGATTCATGCCCTTATAATTTCTACAGGATGAAAGGTATTCTAGATAGAGTATTAAATTCTGTGAGAGAGGGTCAAAATTACTTTTCCACTTCAATAAGTTTGACAAGTCCTTATCTGAACAGGCATTCCATAGACAACAAGTGAATCCATATTCTTTGTTCCAAGATCAGTCTTGCATAGATAAGATGAAGAAAAGAATAGTCAAAAGGCCTTAAAGCAGGTTTGTCAAAGACCAAGGACTTATTATGAACTCAAGATGCTTCTCTTCCGCTGAGACCTCCCAGATACCCTTGGGTTTTCTCCAAGGAGACCACTTGGTTCATTAGGCGAGAGCAGAGCAGAAACTGTTATTTCCAGAGTCTGTTCGTAAGCAATTAAGAATGAAAACACAAGCCGAGTTCATGCTGTTGTTTTTCTTCCTGTATCCTCCAGACTTAAAATGGGAAAACATCTGATTCCTTTGGATACCAGACTCTCAGTTTATCAACATCTCTCTAAGTATTTTCATCAAAGGAAGTATCCAATAAATAGAGAGGGGACAGCCAGACATGGTGGCAAGGGCCTGTAATCCCAGCTACTCGCAGAGATGGAGGCATCAGGATTGCAGATTCAAGGACAACCTGGGAAATTTAGGGAGATCCTGTCTCAAAATATTAAGGAAAAGGAAAACTGAGCCTATAGCTCAGTTGTAGAGAGACTTCCTGTCTGCACAAGACTCTAGGTTCAAGCCCCATTACCACAAAAAAAGGATGGAGGAAGGGGGTAACCACTATTAAAAAATAATAATAATAGAAAAGAAAGCTTTCTTGCATGATAGCAACTCAGCTATGCCAGATTCCCTTTGACAGACAGTCCCTTGATTTAATTTGAAAACCTGTGTGGCGGTTTATTAAATGCCGGCAATCAAAGGGATTGTTTTGTCTCTAGGGCTGATCATACTTGATAATTCAGAAAAGGAAAGAGGGAATGGTAGTGTTTTGCCTCCAATGTTGCAAGGGTTTTGTTTCCCCAAATTAAAATTCTAACAGTTCTTGTAAGCCACAAGGATGGAGGTTTCTTCTTTCCGCATTAAGATGATTATCCTTGGGTTCAGGATGTGGCTCAGTTGGTTGTCACACAAGCATGAGGTCTTGAGTTTGAATCCCCAGCACCCTCACCAAAGTCGGGTGTGGTGGTGTACACCTCTAAGTTTCTAACTTCAGCACTTGGGAAGCAGAAGGAGTAGGCCTGTCAGACTACTTAGAACTGCCAGCTCTGAGCTCAGCAAGAGAGCCTGTCTCAAAAATAAGGTGAGGAGCCACAGAGAACACTTGAAGTTGACCTCTACATGTATATGTGCAGAAGAGTGCCTTACACACCTACACACACACTACACACAGAGATAGATAGATAGATAGATAGATAGATAGATAGATAGATAGATAGATAGATAGATGAGAGAGAGAGAGACAGAGAGAGAGGGAGAGGGAGATATTTTAAAAGATTATTCTTAAAACTGCAAGTGTGTGGAATCTGAGATATGAAGACATGTTGCCACGGGGACAATGAGAAATTGCTGAACTTATATTTCTTCCAGGAAGACAGATGTGCCACCTGATGTATCTTTCTAAACTGCTAGGATACCAGGGGACATCAAGGTGGATCATCTCATCGTATGGTCGCATCTCCCTGACAATTTCTGAACTCTGTCTCCTTTCTCTCAGTCTGCTCTTTGTGGATGATGGGATGAGCCACTGTGAATGTCAGATAAGCCTGTCACAGTGGTGCTGCTTGAGTGCCAGGGACAAGCCACTGTCATTTCTGACAGTTCTCTAGGCACACCAGTGACTGGCCTGATTCTTGCCCCTGCTTTTCCCTTGCTCAGGACAGACACCCTCCTGTATCCTTGTATCCACATCCCTCGGTTGTTGCCTGGTTACAATCCTTTCCCCATGATGCAACCAGGAGAAGTTTCCTAAAACCCAGCTCCGGCCACACAGATTCCTGCTAAGAAACCCACTGTTCCTCAGGATTTTGTAAATAGCCAAAAACATAATGTACCAGCACCAACCTTGGGATTTTTACAATAGCCTTACTGTCCCATCAAACCTCTTCCTCCTACCATATCCCCACCACCACCGCCACACCAGGCCTCAATAAATCACAAATCAGAAATACTTTCAGTTTCTCCAACATGTCTCATCCCTCTATTCATTCAACAAGTATCCGTGGAGTGCTTAGCACATGCCAGGTGCCATGAATGCCAAAGATGACCAAAACAAG